GTGCAGAAAGGGCACTCTGAAGCTCCTCTGGGTCCCCTTGAAAGCAGTAATAAATCTCCCACGTGAAAAGGTGCCCTCTCTGCACTAGGAGGTAGAGGGACATCTTGATCTCTAGGGGTGGGGAATTCAGGACCACAAAGACTGTGTAAACAAACTCTGTTTAGATTCTTCACTAATTAAGCACCCAAAGCCTAAGTTTCTTTGTTTTCTCAATTCTTCACAAATTTATTGTTTTTTGTCTAAAAAGTATAAAAGCTGCTTGCTTTGGTCACTCCTTAGATCCCATTTCTATGCGACTTCTATATGCACAAATTAAATTTGTTTTTCTGTCTCCTGTTAACCTGTCTTGTGTAAATTTAATTATTAGACCAGCCAAAAGAATTCAACAGAAGTAAGGGGGAAATTGCCCCCTCTGTGTCAGAAGCATCCTGTCTTTAAGGAGAAATGTCCAACATTTCTCCATTAAGTATGATATTTATGATTACAACTTAATAGATACACCTGCTCATGGAGGGTTCTAGGACCAAAGCAGGAAAGAAATCCAGAGCATCGTATTTTGGGTAGATATTTCCCTCTAGAAAGCACTGCCAAAATATGTGCCACAGCCAAACAAGCTGCTGAGCAAGCTGACCTGGATGGAGCCTTTGCTGGGCTGGGTCGATGACGAGCCTCTACATGTGCTTTGGCAGCAGGATAGCTCCACGCTTTCTGCTGCTGACTAGGCCTACTCAGGAGGAAGGGGAGGAGGCTCCTGTCAAGTGAAAGAGGGATATGGGTACAGATAGTTCAAAAGGGTTCCTAATGGTCTATGCATTGACCTTAGCAGTCAGTTCAGACCATGATTTTGCAAATCAGAGAATGGTTCACATGAGAATTTCCACATCTCCTAAGACTAGAAAGACGGCTCTTCAATCTGGAAGGGAGGGGGAATTGTTACTGGGACAACGCCTAAAAGTTTAGAGAAATCAGAACGCCAATCTTCTTGTTCTATGATCGTTGACAGGAGGATTACTCACACCAGGAAAAAACCCCACAGAAGTCTAGGCCCTGAGGCATGCCTGGTGAAGTCCTGGACAGAGGACGGGGGCCCAAGAGGGAAGCTCCTTCTGGCACCTGCTGTGCCTTGCTCCTCACACGTGGATGGTAGAGACCCTGCAGCAGGTGAGGACACAGAGGCCAGAAAGCCTGGCAGAGGAAGGCTGGGTCCTCTGCACACAGGATGGAAGCTGGCTAGAAGAGAGCACCTTTGTGTCTTAACCAGGGTTTCTTTCCTGGAGGCAGTGGGGGTCTAATCCTGCTCTGCCACTTGCCAGATTAGTAAATTTGGTCAAGGTTCTTAACCTCTCTGAATCGTCTCATGTGCAAAACAGAAATAGTAATTACCTCTCTCAGTAAGTTGTTACAAGAAGTAAATGAGATAGGGCGATCCCAAAGTCTACTGCCAAAAAGCAAAATTATCAACAAACAGGGTGGGCCCATGTCAAAATTCTTATTTTAATTCTTTAATGAGATAATTGGCAAAGGAGATTTTTTAAAAGCTAGTTTGAAGAATATTTGAGAATATAGAAAGATAGTCAGGAATGGAATGCCAAAATAAGATTCTTAAGTTAGATCTAAGACTCTTTTAACTTTCAACAGGGTGATAAAAACTATAACAGTTAGAGGTTAATATCTCTACAGGCTATGGAATCATATTACCCCATCAAGCAGATATAAACTCTCTAATTCTTTATCTTTTGTGACTTTTTAATCAAATATACTGTGCCAACCATATTACATTTCCAAGAAGTGTCAGATGATGGAAGATTAACACAGGCAAGGACTTGCTTCTATTCAGCATGAAATCAAAGATTTAAGCCATCACCATTTTGTCTTTTTCCAGGTTTGAGATGGTTTTTCCCTTCCCACTGACACCCAGCAAGAGCCCAACAAGAGTTGATAGCTTTCCCTCCCCTTTTTAGCCCGTTTGAATTTAGGCTGAATTCCCCAGGCCAGGAGGCCAGAAGATAGGCTGGTATCTGGACCCAACCAGAATGGTTCTTGCTCCCAAGTGGAGGAATGTATGGGGAAGGCTGTTCCATTGGCATAAGCTCTTTTTTTCAGTTACTAGACACTAACTGCCCAATTCCATATCCTCACCATGCACTTGAGGACTTTTGTCACAACCATGAGGAACTTGGCTGAAGTCAGGAGCTTTGGGTGGAGAAGCAGCATTTCATACAAGTCCTCTTAATAGTCCCCGGAAATCTCACTGGCCAGATCTGCCTCAATTGGTGAAACAAGGTCTCTTTTGTGGGCTCAAACATTGCATGAATTTTCCTGCTAAACTACTTATTTCTCAACTTCCCACTGCCTTGTTCTTCTTTTGTAGCTGGGGAAACAGGAAACCAAATCACCTTGCTCTGGGCTACAAGCCCTGTCTGACTCTGCCCAGTGGTTCCTGTAATAGGCACAGTCTTGTTTTTAAATTACAGTCTCCAAGGCTGCCTCCTCCCTCACCTTCACGTCTTTCTCCAGGCTGCCAGTGCCAGCTGGGCCACCTCACCTGCCCAACCAGCTCAGGTATCAACTGTTGATAGCTCAGGATCAATACAATTCTTCAAAACTGGTGGCCTATCACTGATGACGAAACTCCAAAGGGCACTCTGGGCCACCTTCGCAGTGGTCTCTCTGAGTGGGCTCAGAGAAAGCAGACTCATTGGACTTTCAACTAGAGGCAAGCAGAATTAACAATGGTAAATCTCCCCACCAAAGAATCCATTAACAGCAAGTCCAACAGTGCATTTTCAAGGAGAATCAAAGGCACTGGGATATGTCGCCCTCACTCCCATTCAGACACACATACATACACATACACACCACCATGTGCATATCCACACCATGTGGATAACTGAGAGGCAGAATTGAGTTGGTCTCTCCTTTTGCGCATTCTCCCATTATATCCCCTAAATGTTGATTGAGGCCTGGGATGCACTTTGATGAGCCCTATACACCTTTTCCATCTTTGCCTGGGCCACGTTTGGGCCAGCAGCTCACCTTTAAAAATGCCTCTCAAAACTGCATAATCTCCATTTCTGCAATGCGGGGAGTGCATTCACACTCCTGCCTTACGTGGAAACTCTTGCTTTGGGGGACGGATAAAGCTATCCTCCGGAAAACTGAAAAGGAAGCAATTCTGTCCCTGAGCCTTCCCACTTGCCCAGCAGAAGTCCAACTCCATGTTTGATGACAAGACTCCCCCCTCCCATTTTAGATTCCAATCTTAATTCTCCACTGGCTGCCAACCATTTTCACTAAAATGTTAGCTGATAATAAAATGGGATGGTAATTAAAGCCTTAGTTGGTGAATAAAGGTTTAAGCTGTTACCTTTCCCTGCTCAATTGCATTTTTATATGATCAAAGTCTACTACAAACAAAAAGGCCAGTCACCTAGAGTGAGTAATCTTCAGTGTTGAAAGCCAGTTAATCTGAGTGGCATATTGTTGGGGGTGGGAGGGGCCTGCTCCTCCCGATATCCTGGGGGAATTGGTCCCCTCCTCTTCTCCTCTCAGGCCTGAAACACTTCCAGCTTCTCCAAAGAAACTCTCCTCTTCCTCAGCCCCCCGGAGTTGGGTTCCTCTACAGCCCAGTCTCCTGGAGTCAGAGGCACACAATCATCCCAGACAGGGTTGAAGGATCCCTGCTGTGTTGATGCAGCAACTCGGTGCCTCATGCATGCAGAGGGACCCCAAGCCAGCCTCTATCTCCCAGGACACAGGGAACCCCCAGCTTCACAGAGCAGGAGAGCTGTGAAGGGATGTGGGCAGCAGGAGAGAAATTGATTCAGTTCTTTAGCAACACACATCTGCACCAAGTCCAACCACACACAAAACAACAACAGTAATAGAAATACTCCCCTTTTCACTAAAACCCAGAAGCTAGGATGAATTTTCCCAACCTTTTAGGGGTCCTTGGACCCTTTTGAGAATCTGATGATAGCCATGGAGGAATGTGTTTATACACATGCACTCAAAATAGTATATTCAGCTTCAATTCCATTTCAGAGATATGTAGTAGATCAAGTTAAAAACCCTGGTTGACAGATTCTGGTGAGAACTCCCTACCCCCTTCTCCATCACTGACACCATGGCCCCATCACCTAAGTGGGAACGACAGAAAATTTCCCCAGGCACAGCATGGAAACTCAGCTTGGGGGGTTGGGTTCTGGTGAGAAGTGGCATCCACCTGCTGGCCTCCCCATTTGACCAGGCCCTTGGACAATCCAGAGTAATGATGGGAAGGTTATTTTAGATAATTCACTGATCACCAGAGCATTCACCTCTCAGGGCAGCATTTGAGTACGCTATTCTCTGAGTTGACTTTTATTAATGTGTTGGCCTATCTGCCCATTCCTTTATTATTTAATGAGTTTGGGAGTAGAGAGAGAAGGAAAGCTTCCAAAATCGCTAAGGAGAAATTACAAGCGTGGGGCCAGGGGGCTGTTAGTGTACTTAATGTGGGACTCTCAGCATCCACCTACAGTCACACCACACAGACAATCAGTCTCTCTCTCTCTGTCTCTCTTTCTCTCTCTCTCTCTCACACACACACACACACTTCTACATACTTTTCTCCCTAATTTCCCAAGAGTCACATCTAAGACATTTAGCTGGAAATTAAAATTTAGTTTAGAGAACTCTATGAGTTTTCCCTACATCACCCTGTTCCCATATCACCTACTGGGAGACAAGTAGGGAACTCATCAGCTTTAGTGTCTTGGACTTTTTAGAATCCTTAAGTCCTGGAACCAATGACTCAGTACCCTGGAGCTGGAAGAGACTCAAGAATAGTTTGGGGAGAACATGGGGAGGAAACAGACAGTGGGAAGCACTGAAAGTTCCCACAGATGGGGAGTGGGAGACAAGAGAGTCTTTATTTCTTCTCTTAGAGTTTTCCAACCCTCCCTCCACCCGCCAGGAACCTCATTCCACAAGAGAAAAGCAAGAGACCAAGAGAGGCCTGAGGTATCATTTACTTTATTGCTCTGCAGGGACAAGTCCAGGGGCCAGCCCCAGGGGCCACAGCTCTGCTACTCCTTGTGGATGTCTTCATGGGCCAACAGGCCCACCTTGATCACCAGGATGAGGAACTCCTCGAAGTTAACGGCACCATCCTCATTGATGTCCAACTCTTTGAACCACGTGTCTGCATCCTTTTTCTGTCAAGATTGAGGAGAAAGAAGCCAGAGTGTAAAGATCTCAGGGAGAGCTGAGGCCTAGCTGTCTCCAGAGGGCAGCATGAGGAAGCAGTGACCCAGGACTTCATCAGAGCCACACAGAGAACTTCGACCACACCAGCCCCTCCTCACCTTCAAGTACTGAGGGCACTCTGTCTCTAACAACTTCTTCAAATCATCCCTGTAGACGGCATGGTAATTCCCTTTAATCAGGGAATACTTGTGGTAGACGTCAATGAGGGAGTTGATGGCGTTCTCCAGATCCGTCAGCATGGTGCCCAAGGATTTGTCCACCTGGAAGAGAGAGCACATGGGGATCCCAGGGTGGGATGGTGTCTCTGCCCACAGCAGAGTAAAGACTAGGAGGATATTCAGAAGGTTCCTACCCCAAGTCATGGCTTTGTCCTGGCCTTCACCATCCAAATAACTAAACCCAGCAATGGCTATGGCTATGATGGGAAAGGGTGGGATGATATGGATACTAGTGTGGGAGGGGGTAGGGTCACACACACACACATACACACACACACACACACACACACACACACACAAAGTGCCTGCTAACTCTCACTATGCCCTCACCCTCTGCCCAAGAAAGGTCCAGCTTGGGAAACAAGTATGCCCTCACCGAAAATGCTAGAGGACTCGGCTCCTTCTTTGTCCCTGCCTCACTCTCTTCCTTGGAGCTCTGGATTTTGGTCCAGGCCTCCCTGAATTTCTCTCCCCATCTCAGAGAAGGCTGCTCCACTCCCTGGCCCTCCCTAAAAGAAGCCCAAAGTGTGGGGCAGACAGGGACAATCCCACTTACCAGGTCTCCACAAAACAGAGTTGACAGAGGATATGCAGGGCTGAGTGTTGGCTTCCTTTTATAGCAGCTGGGCTTGGCCAGCTGCCCGGCACCTCCGGACAGTCAGAGGCAGCTTCTCCCTTCCAGGGTTGCTGCAGTTTCTGGTTTCCCAACCAGGTGAATGGGGCAATCACTGCATAGAATGAAAATTTCTCATAGAGGGGAGGTTAGAGGCGTGAGTGGAGACGGAAGGCATTTGCCAGCAGTAGTGCCCAGCAGGAGAAACCAGGAAGAGACCATGGTGAGGACTCCTTTTGTGGGCCACTGGCATTCCTTGTCTTGGCCAACCAGGATGCCCACTCCTAAGTCCTCCCTACTGGTGATGATTCTAATCCAGTGCATTGTGCCCTGTCTGTGCATCTCTGAAGTGGAACTGAAGTTGAATGCATCATTTTGAGTGTATGCATATAAACACGTTCCTCCATGGCTTTCATTTGAGTCTCAAAAGGGTCCAAAGACCATTAAAAGGTTAGGAATACTTGTCCTAGCTGCTGGGTTTTAGTAAGGAAAACGGGAGTATTTCTATTATTGTTGATGTTTTGTGTGTGGTTGGACTCTGTGGGGACGTGTGTTGCTAAAGGATTAAATCAATTTCTCTCCTGCTGCCCTCACTCCTTCACAGCTCTCCTGCTCTGTGAAGCTGGGGGTGCCCTGTGCCCCAGGGAGATGGAGGCTGGCTTGGGGTCCCTCTGCGTGGACGAGAAACTGAGCCACTGTATAACACAGCAGGGACCCTTCAACTCTGTCCGGGATGATTGTGTGCCTCTGACACCAGGAGACTGGGCTGAAGAGGAACCCAATCTAGGTGGGTTGGGGTGAAGGGGAGGAGTTCTCTAGAGAAGCCAGAAGTGCTTCCTGCCCAAGAGGAGAAAAGGAGGTGGCCCATTCCCCCAGGATATCGGGAGAAGCAAGCCCCTCCCACCCCCAACAAAATGCCACTCAGATTAACAACCTTTAAGGCTGAAGATATGTGGCACATTTCTCTTGTTACAAAGCACTTTACATCCGTATAATCTATTAAGAGCCTCAGAGGATGCCTGCCAGGAAGGCAGGGTGCAGGACCCACCCAGTCTAAAGACATGGGAGCTGAGGCTCAGGAAGGTGAAGCGGTTCACCCAGAGTTTCCCAGTGTGGATGTGTCAGAGGCCAGACTGGATCCCAGAGCACCAGGCTCCAGTGATCTGACAAGAACATGACTCTGCTGAGAAAATTCCTCTCTCTTCTTCCTCCACGCATTCAACAAATATTTACCCTGTGCTTCTCCAGGGCCTAGGCCATCATCGCCTCCTGGAGGAAGTAGAAAGGATTAGCCTCTCTTTCCATGACTCTAGAGCCCTTTGGGCTTTATAATATCAATAACTTTATAGTTGTGTGACCTTGGGCCGATTACTTACCCTCTCTGTTCCTTAGTTACCTCAATTATTAAGTAGAGATTTAGAATAGAGTCTACTTTCAACCTACAGAACGGGAGAAAATACTTGCAGATCATATATGCGATAAGGGGTTAACATCCAGAATTTCTAAAGAACTTCTACAACTCAACAACAAAAAAAACAAACAATCTTATTGATAAATGGACAAAGTACTTGAATAGACGTTTCTCCAAAGAAGATATACAGATGGTCAATAAGCACACGAAAAGATGTTCCACATCACTTAGAGAAATGCAAATCAAAACCACAATGAGATATCACCTCATACGCGTTGGAATGGCAACTATCAAAAAAAAAGGGGGCGCCGGCCCCGTGGCGTAGCAGTTAAGTGCGCGCGCTCCACTGCTGGCAGCCCGGGTTCGGATCCCAGGCGCACACCGATGCACTGCTTGTCAGGCCATGTTGTGGCAGCATCCCATATAAAGTGGAAGAGGATTGGCATGGATGTTAGCTCAGGGCTGATCTTCCTCGCAAAAAAAAAAAAAAAAAAGAAAACAGAAAATAACAAGTCCTGGGGAGGAAGTGGAGAAATTGGAACCCTTCTGCACTGCTGTTGGGAATGTAAAATGGTGCAGCCACTATGGAAAAAGAGTTTGGTGGTTTCTGAAAAAATTAAAAAAGGAATTACCATATGATCCAGAAATTTCACTTCTGGGTATATATCCAAAATAATTGAAAGAAGGGTATCAAAAAGGTATTCGTACACCCATGTTCACAACAGCATTATTCACAATAGCCAAAATGTGGAAGCAACCCAAGTGTCCACCCATGGATGAATGGATAGATAAAATGTGGTTTATACATACAATGGAATATTATTCAGCCTTTATTCAAGAAAGGAAATTCTGACACATGCTACAACATGGATGAAACTTGAGGACGTTATACTAAGTGAAATAAGCCAATCACAAAAAGACAAATATCATATGATTCCACTTATACCACTTGACTACTGTAGGAAATACCTGCAGCAGTCAAACTCGTAGAGACAGAAAGTAGAATGGTGGTTGCCAGGGGGAGAGGGGAGTTGTTGTTTAATGAGTATAGAGTTTCAGTTGCAAGATGATAATAGTTCTGGAGATTAGTTACACAACAATGTGAATGGACTTAACATCACTGAACTGAACACTTATAAATGGTTAAGATGGTCAATTTTATGTGTATTTTGCCACAATTAAAAATAAAATTTTCAAATGCTTCCACCTAAAAAAAATAGAATCTACCTTATAGTGTTGTTGTGAGGATTAAAAATATATGCAAAATATTTATGATTTGTGAACTTTTCTTAATATGTATTATATTTTAATAAAAAGTTTACAGAAAAACTGTGTAAAGTGCTTAGGGCAGTGCATAGTCAGCAAGCAACATGTGAGTGGAAATCATGATTACTGCCCCAGAAATGTGCCCGGCTCCCCAGCCAGACTGTGAACCCTTGAGGACTCAGACTGGATCATCCATCTCTGCCTTTCCAGGACCCAGCACAGTGCCTGGCAAACACAGTAACAGCAACAACAATCAATAACAAGAACAAATAATAGAAAATAATAGCTGAGATTTATTGGGTTTTTATACCATGTGCCAGGAACTGTTGTAAATGCTTTACTTATATCAATCCATTTAATCTTCACAATAATCCTATGAGGTATGTACTATCATAATTCCCACTTTACAGATAAGGAAACTGAGAAACAAAACATTCAGTGCCTCAAATAACTCAGGTGACTTCTGATGTGATGTGACATCACCCATTCCCGCCCCTGCCTGGAATGCCTCTTTGCTGGTAAAGTCCTCCTCATGCCTCCTGATCCAGTCCAGGCACCATCTGCTCCAAGTCCGTCCCTGACCCTCCTTCCTGCACCCCTATCAACGCTGGGTTAATTCTTCTGTCCTCCATGCTACCCAAATCCTCATGTATCACAGCATTCGCCCTGCTATAGTATGGCTCATCTGTTTACTGTCTGTCTTTTCTTTAGGCCCATGAGCCCTTTTAGAACAGCAACCACATCACACCCTAGGGTCTGGTACATACTAGGCGCTCAACTCATAGTTATCGAGGGGACACATGAATACAGAATCGAAAGTTTGATCTATCCCTTATCCAATGCAGAAATTCCCTTTATCACACCCAATCACGTGAAATCGTTTTTGAAACAAGGCGGGATATAAATCTGTCAACCAAATGCAATCTAGCTTCCTTGGCAAGAAGTTAGTCAACCTCTTAACAGGAAAGTAGGGTTGTTTCTGACATACAATATGATAAGTTTTCAACCAATGATCAAGCACTTAGTGCACACCTGTTATTCACCAGGCCCTCTCCTACATGACCTGACATAATAACACCTTACCCCAAGGAGTACAGCATACTTTCAAAGTGTTTCTGCATCCACTCACTCATTTGATAACCCTGTGACATGGATGTTACAGGTACAATTATCCTGATGTGACATATGAGGAAACTGAGGCACAGGGAATTACTCAAGGTCCTTCCTATGGGCGCGTCTTCTGATTTGTCTTGGTGCTTAGGTGCCAAAGAGCACACATGAGAACAAGCAAGGTGGCTTTTCTCAGACTCTACATAGGATTTGTTCACCAGCGGGGGACGGAGCTCATGCTGACCTCTCTCAATGGGGGTGGTGATGAGATTGATGGAAATGATGTCTTCCCAGACCCCGACCCTTCAGGAGACGCCTCCCTTGAAGCCACTCCTTAAGAACGGTCCTGGTGGAGACAGCTTTCTTCATTCGGAAAGTAAGGAAAACAGGCCCCGGGTTCCAGTGAGGGAGACTTAAGGCCAACGTGAGCCATGACCTCTTCCGCCATTGTATGCTTGTCAGTGGAGCATGCTGACCAGCGAGGGCATGAAACATCGCCCCCAGAGATGCTTCCCCTGGACAGACAGCCTTAGGGGCTTCAGGGAGAGCAGGAGCCAGGCTGAGCTGACCTGGCAGAAGAGAGTGTCAGGAATTGGGTAAGTGAGTTGGGGAAAAGGCAGAGCCTGTAATCAGACTGATGGACATGGGGCAACCTAGGGGGAGGGGAACCTGGTCCTGTTACAGGAAAGAGCTCCGTCCTGGGTATGTGTCCCAATAGACCCCATCAGGTCGTGCCCAAGGCTGAGGATATGAGGACAAAGCAAGCAGAGCCAGTGGAGAAATCCTGCCCAGGAATGGGCAGGAGGAAGGCAAGGAGGACTGGGCTGAGCTGCCCCCTTCGTACTCAAAGTCCTGTGGAACCCACCATGTTTCAGGTGAGACAGGCAGGAAGAATCCTCCCCGCGGTCTGGGTCTCCTGGCCGACTGTCTCCACGTCTGAACATGACTGCCAACAGGATGCAGCACAGACCCAGGTCATCGGATTCCCATCCACATGCCCCATTTCTGCATTCCTTCCTCAAACCACTCACTGAGCACTCACTGTGTGCTGACACTGGGCCCATGGGGACTCGGAGATGACAAGACATGGTCCCTGGCTTGGTGGAGGACACAGACAGTAAAACCCAACCCAGATGAAGCAGGACATGCACCTCCACAGGGGAAGTTCAGACCGCACGGAGCATGTAGGAAGCCCCAGTGGGAAATGGCTGGGGGCCCAGCTGAGTCCTGAAAGGCAGGCGCTGGTGGATTGGCACATATGGAAGCAGTGTCAATGACGGGCCAGGCCCAGGGAGCAGCAGGGGCAAAATCCTGCTTCAGAGCCTGACTGACCAAAAACCAAGGGCCCCCAGCTCAGCCCACAGGGTACTGCTCCCCTTGTTTGGCACACAGACCCAGTTGGGGGAGGGAACCAAATCAAGTTCCTTAAATGACCCCCCCAATCATTTGCACGGGGGAGCAACGCAGAAAACCGCCCATCACTCTTTGAAAACTCATAATTTCTATCACAATAAGCTCAGGACATGGGTTCTCAGAGAAGAAATACACCAAGACAGGCCCCAGCAGGCAGAGGAGACCCTCCCAGAGAGATTCTGCTTCGGATTCCTGAGCTCCCAGGGTGAGAGAGAGAAAAGCAAACACCAGAGACAGGGCAGGGGGAGGCCTTGGATCAGTGAGTCACAAAAAGCTCTGAGTCAGAGTAACGCCCACATCCATCATCAATTTTTATTAGTAAACACCAGAACCAACCCTTCTCTCCTCCAGAATTCTTCCCTGATTGGCAGTTGCCCAGGTTCCATTCATCGCTCTTCCCCATGACAGGCTGGCTTGTTAGGTTTGCCCTTGTCCCCAACTCTGACTGAGCCATGCAAAACCCACCTCACAATCTTCCCTCACAGACTGGTCCCATGCCACCACCCCGTGTCAACTACCAGCCCATCTTCCCCGCCCATCCTGGCCCCTTCCCGGGCCCAGGCCCCTCCGCCTTCGTACATTGATTCATTGGAGCTCTCGTCCAGAGCAGGGAGACCTTCAAAATTGGGGTCCATGTCCTGTGTGCCTCTGCCCCCTGGCTCCTGTCCTAGCATGTTTGTGTAATGAATGAGTGATCAAAACATCACTGGTGAGTCCTGGCTTCCTTGTCAGAGAGCCAGCTCCCCAAGAGGAAAGACTCCTCCCTCTCACACTGAAAGCTGAGGGCAGGGCTGTCTCCCCTCTCAGACAGGGGCTCCTGGAGGCAGGAGCTGTGTCTTTCCCCCAAAATGGGTGATCCCCAAGGATGAACCAAACCTCCTCTTTCTGGACCCATAGCAGATGCCCAGATCCATGAACTGAACAAACTCAGAAACATCTATGAAGTTGCTTTATTCTCTTCCCTCACAGCTGTCCTTTCTGCAGACATGTACACGCATATGCACACGGATGCGGGCAGACGCAGACATGCACAGCAGAGCTCTCCATTCAGCTGCCCGGGGCAGGCTCCCCAGGAGGCTGCCTGTGCCCCCTCTAATAGAGGCTGTGCTGGGCGCAGTAGTGGGCGCACAGCTGCTGGTGGTACTGCAGGTGGTAGTCCTTCATTAGCTTGCCCAAGATGTAGAGGAACTCGTCAAAGCAGATCTGGTTGTCCTTGTTCTTGTCTGCTTCCCGGAACAACTCCGTGATGTAGTACGGCTCCTTCCGGCCCTGAGGAGTGAGCAGAGGGTCAACCACCCACCCAGGCACACAGCCTCACAGCAGATGGCCAGGCCTCCACCACCTGCTGGTGGAAGGACGGGGTGGGGTAACAGTGGCACGGTACTGCCTGCAAAGGGCTTGCACGAAACAGCTCCTCACGCGATGTCAGTGTCAGTGGCCAGGACACCATAGGCTGCAGAATCAGGCTGAAGAGGCAGAGGTGTGATAGGCACCTCGGCTCACTGGATCTGGGGCTGTGTGGGCAGACAGAGGGTGCAGACTGGGCACTGTGGGCTGGCTGACTGTCTACAGTTGCTGAGCAGTGCTGAGCAGCCTGGTACCTCCTGACACAATTCATGTCCGTCCACCATCAGTGGCTGTTTAAGCCTGTCTTCCCAGCTGAAATGCAAGCTCCCCCATAGGGACAGCCCAGCCCAGGGACTTCCGGATGGAAGGCTGTCCTTCAGCCTTCACACTGGGAGCTCCCCGGGGCAGAGCCCACCTGTCCCTCATGTCTGCATCTCCAGCACTATTGCAGGGCCAGCACCAAGTGGCATCTGCACAGGAACTGTTTGTGGCACTTTGCCTGTGTCACCTATGGAAAGCACAGATTGAGGGAAAGGACAAAGCCATGGGCCCTGGAGCTGTCCAAGATGTACCCAGAGCAGGTGGTCCTGAGGGCTGAGGATTGGGGATGGTACAGGCAAGGAAAGGAGCATTTGAGGTGGAAGGGATAGCAGAAAGGAAGTCAGGGATCAGAGCACAGCGAGGAGGGGGACAGGCAAAGACAAGGTGGGCGCACTCACTGGGCAGTGGCAGTGAAGCAGGTTTCAGCAGGATTTGGCTGGTGGACGTGAGGAACCCAGAGTGGAGTCCTCAGAAAGCCTCAGGGGCAGGACGTCCTTGCAGCTGTAAGCAGCTGTGGGCCTGGAGGGTGGCTCTCATCCCCCTGGGCAGGTTGGCACCCTCTGTCCCCTCACCACCCCACCACTATCTACTGCGTATAATCTTATCTCCTCCATAAAGCTGGTTTACCTGAGAAACTGGAGGCTGCCTGCCCTGGGCAGGCTCCCCCCGGCTTCCCTCACCTCAGCCCACCTGACCCAGGCTGCTATCTGTCTGCCCTGTGCCCAGGTGTCTGCCCCTGAGGGTCCTGTACAGGTGGGCTGTGACCCTCTGAGAGGTAGGGCCAAGCATTGGCCCTGGAAAGGAAAAGATTTCTCTAGAAACAGGGACTAACCACAATCACCCTAGCCCCCCATCTGTGACCCTCACGGCTACACTCCAATAAACTGAGGACAAGACTGTCTCCTCTGATATTCCCCACAAGTAGGCAACGGGAGCTAGGAAGCCACCAAAGGAAGTGCTTCTCCTGGGATGTAGCAGCCCTGACTTGGGGCATGGACCTGAAGTCCTCTGGAGATGACAGTCCAGAGACCCCCCAGGGCATGGCACCAAGAGCAGAGGGCAGTGCCCCACAGACACTCCTGCCAGCCTTGCAGTCCCCCAGAAGCACAGTGTCACAGGGCTGGGCCTGAAGATGATAAGATGTGCAGGCCTGAGGAGGGTGTCTGAGCCCAGCCTGGATTCCAGGGCTGTGCCCCCTAGGCTGTTCTGAGAGACTGGGCTGGTCTATCCGCCCTGCCCACAAGAGGTGGGAGGGGAAGCTACACTTCCTAGCCCCACCGCAGCCCAAAGTCGCCTCCCCCAGGCACAGGGGCAGCGGGGAGGCTTATGCTAGACCCCAGGAGAAGGGGCTAGGGTTCAAAGGGCAAGTTGGGATCAAGGTCGCTGACGGGACAGGTCTGTGGGGAGAGGGATGATTTAGGACCTCCTCTCTAGGGAAGGGACAGGCAGAGGAATAAACAGGTTTGGGGTTAGGACTGAGTTTCTGGGGATTAGCTATGCGTGGGCTGGAGTGGGGCCAAGCAGGGAGTTTCGGGAGAGGGGAGGGGAAATGAAGCCACCAGGCCCATCCTCTCTCTGGCCGCAGATGCTACCCTCTGCACTCCCTCATGCGCCCTCCCCTAAGTGGAAATTCTCTTGGGAGACGGCTCCCTGTACCTACACCCTCACCACTCACTTCCAACCCTCAACCAACCCTACACCAGTCCCCTGGGCCCCTCCTTATCCCCACCTGACCCCAAACCCCACACACCAAGCTCGCCATGAAGCGGGGCACGTTGTCCACGAGCAGGGCCTTCAGCTCCTCCAGGGACAGGGTCTCCACGTCCCCCTCCCGGGCCGCGTACTGGTGGTAGCAGTGGATGATTTGGAAGAGGGATTCCTCCGCTGGGGTGTCAGTCATGGTGGGACAGGGGGCAACTCTGGAGATGCGGGGGTAGAGCAGCTGGGGACAGTGGAGGATCTGGGAGGAGACAGCAGCACCTCATCTGGGCCAGCCCACAGCAAGATAGGTGCTTCCTCCTAGAATCTTCTGCCCCCTTATCCCTGCCCACCTTCCTGCACCTTGTCTCAGGCCCCCTCCCTGCGGACCCCTTGCAAACGTGGCTCAGAGTCCTTGCAAATTCTCAGTACAGGGCTCTGTCCCTTCCCTGAAACTTTGGCTCCCTGAGGACAGGAGCTGTGTTCTCCACCTCCCAACCATGCCTTCAGCTTAGGAGTCACCAGAAGTCATGAATGAGAAGAAACTAGACTCTTAGAGGCAAGAAACTAGACTCATTTTCCAATGGAAATATTTTTAAAGCCCTTGAGAAGGCAAGATCTCCACAATCATAGGCTATTTTATACAACAAAAGAATATTAAAATAATTATACCACCCAGAAACCCCAGCCCTGCTCAAGTGTTGTTACTATTTTCCTTTCTTAATTCAACGTACAGACTACACATGGTCCCCATCTTTGCTCCCACCACCGCCTGGCCCCGTGACCCGCTCTGAAGTCTAAACACCATCCACACAGCCCCTCCAGTGCTGAGTCTCCATGGCCTCCCAGAGCCTCTGTGTGCTGGGCTGGCCAGTGTTGGGGAGCCAGGGGCACCCATGGCCTCTCCTGGTCGCCCCACAGCACCCATCCCGGCACCCCACACACAGGTGAGGCACTCATGCCAGCGACTTCCCACTCCACACTTCCTACAGAGATGAGATCCCTGTTTTCGGGAAGCGGGGTTATCCCACTGGGTCAACAGTCCTCCCTGGATTCTGTGCAGATAAGAATCACATGTAACCCCCACCCCCACAACTCTCTTGGAAGAGATGCTGACCTGTCACTGTTGGGCCAAAGCTGCTCCGAATCCACGGTCCTGGCTTCTGGTTTATCTTAGAGATTCCCTAGTGCTCAGGCAGGAGGCAGTTGTGTGACTCCGGCAGGGGCACAAGCAGGGGCCACACCACCAAGTCCCACAATCTGCCCATCCTCAGTGCTTCCAATTATGGCAGCCAGCGTTGTGACTCTTCACAGGTTCTTCAGTAGCATGACTGAGCCTCAACCGCATTCCTGAGATGACATCACAGGACACTGGCTTCCTACCATTAACTCAGCCAGTATGAGGGACCCATCTTCCCTCAGAGCCTGATCTGAAGCATCTCAGAACACAGAAGGTCATGTTATCCATCTGCCTACCTCAGAGTTCATCCTCCTAGCTCCAGGGCTCAGGTGGGGTCAGACACACAACTTAAATACATCCTCTTTGGATGTCGCTCCTCAATTAGTGAACCCCCAACTCCATAGTCATGAAGCACATTCATTCATCCCACAAATATTTCTTGAGTCCCCACAGTGTGCTGGGTCCTTTCCAGGCAATGTGAGTAAGATATAAGACATGGGGCCAGCTCAGGGTGGGGACAAGTGGAGTGGACAGAGTCACACACTGGCATGATACACTATGAACATTACTAACTAAGTCACATGAACAGGGTGCCCTGGACTCCCAGGAAGGAACACCTGCCTGGAAAGTTGAGGAAGATTTCCTTAGGGAGATATTTGAGTTGGGCCTTGAAGAAAAGATTTAGTTGCAAGGAAAAGCAAAGCATGGAGAACCAGCACTCCAGACGGAGGAAAGAGCCTGGGCAAAGGCTTGAGGGTATGAAAGAGAGTGGTCTGCCCAGGGGAGGGGGTCCACAGGGCGCATCATGAGCAGTGAGAAGAAACAAGGCTGGAGAGGCAGGAGGAGACAAAACATGAAGGGCCCTGTGTGCCTAGCTAGAGCTGCAACTTCATCCTGTCCACAGAAAGATGCTGATAGATGATTTTTAATTGGGTTGGGTGATGGGTGGGAGGTGAGAGAAGTAGTAAGAACAACTTTATTATAAGGAAATAACCAACCCCAATGTGGAAGTTGGGAAGTAGAGTAGAGAAGAGCCTACCCTAAGGGGTCCCAGATGTGTAGGCTGGGCCTCCATACAACACCACCTGGGCCCTTGAGTGACAGGTGAACTGCCTTCCCCCGCCTCAAACCTTCTCTCTGCCAGCCCCTTTTACCTCACCCCACCCCACCCATGCATCTCCCTGGGAGGGGCCACACTGGCTGTGAGGAAGTCTCTCAGAAGGGGGCGCCAAAGGATGGGTAATTGAACCAGAGACTATGGCTATGCATCCCTGAAGGTTTGAGGGAAAATCCAGAAATACTTAAGCCAAAATCTTTTCCAGTTTCAGAGTGAGCCTTCATCTAACCAACATCATGATTTCCTCAGCAAATAAGTGGTTCATCAATACACTTTTATGTTTCTAAAATAAAAACAGGGCTCAAATTTCTAAAAGGTAAAACAATTTGGCAATGTGGAGCTAAAGTCACAGAGAACTTTACTGAATACCTTGGATTCAGCCATTACTCCCCTGGGAATGTATACCAGGAAAGTAATTAAACAGATGTTTAAAAGCGATAAATAGAGGGGCCCGCCAAGTGGCGCAAGCAGTTAAGTGCGCGCGCTCTGCTGCGGCAGCCCGGGGTCCCCAGTTCAGATCCCGGGCGCGCACAGACGCACCGCTTGTCAGGCCATGCTGTGGCGGTGTC